TACTATTATGATATATTTTTCCAATTATATTTATAAAGTTGAATAAATAAATTAGTACTTATAATCAAAGTTTTAAGGTCTAAGTCTTCAAATGTTAAGGACTAAATTGATACTAAACAAAACTTCAAGGATTATTTTGGTTCCAAAAATTAAAGTTTAAGGACATTTTTAGTACTTTTTAAAGTTTTGGAATAAGTTTGACCTAAATCAGAAAGTTTAGGGACTAACATGGTTATTTAACCAAAACATTTAGGTCCTTCAACTTTAAAGTTTACATACTTTTCGTCCCTCAACTTTTTTAATATTTTTTTAATCTTTAACTATGAAAAATACAATGTTTTATAGTTAATTAAAAGATACGAAATGCAGAAAATGGTAAGACATGAAAATTTGCCCATATAAAACCTTCAAAACTCACAACAATCATATATATTCACCTTAAAATATGATCAAAACAACAAATCTGAAAATGCTAGCTAATATCAAATACTTAATATAAAAATTTTGTCATTAATGGTTGAAATTTCACTAAAAATTTATAAAAACATTATTCATAACTATTCATCAAATTTATCTAAAAAAAAATCTAATAATATTAACTAATATCTAATGAACTAATTAATAATAATATTTAACGGTTTAAATTTCAGAAAAAAATAAAATAAACATAAAATATATAAAAAATAATAATACTACTTAAATTTTACTTACCACTGCTTGATCCACTAGATTACAAGAAGAAAAATGTGTTAAAGTGCTTCAAACGGAAGGATGGAGGAAAGGGAGCAAGAACAACCAGCGGGACAAGAGGGAAATGAAAATGAAAGGAGAAAGACCAAAATGAAGGCAAAAGGGTGGGTCGGCATGACAATAGGCAAACTTACCGACGAAACCCACGTTGCTACAGTCTAAAGCTGATCATCTCTGCATTGCATCAAGATTCTCGTTGACCGAACCATCACCGACGAGCATCAAGTTGGCAATGTAGCTATTACCGACCTGCCTCTTATCGGTAAGGAAAATAAAAGCTGCAACACCAGTGACCAGTAGCCGGATTCACGGGGAGTTGTTGAATAGCAAATTACCGACAAGGATTATGTCGGCAAATTTCAGCAAAAAGCTGCACCCCCTGACGCAGGTAGCCAGCTGGTTGGCGAGGGGTACATTGGGAGTGGAAATTACCGAGAAGATGGACGTTGGAAATTGATCCTCAACTACCAACGAGACTATCATTCCAAATTTCAATTTACAGGCGTGGTTCTCGTCGATGATATGCGTTTCCGTCCTTCCCCCACTGGTCGGAGTAGTTGCTGCAGTTACCGACGAATAACTTGTATGTATAATCTTAAATTATCGACAAGTGTTACGTCTGTATACTAAATAATATATCTTACTCCCATTTCTACTGTTTATGAAGTTGCAGACTTGATTCTTGTCGGTAAAAGCATGCTTCACCGAGAACCCTTCTTACTTCGGTGATATTTGGTCGGTGAAGCCAGGTTTTCTTGTAGTGGAAATATTAGTAACAGGTTGAGTTTGATTGGATTTTTATTTTTTTATTATTATTAAAATTCAAACCAAACAAATCTCAATTGGTTTAATTTTTAATTGTTAGGTTTAAAAATTAAAAAAAAAAATTCATAAGGAAGCTTAGTATAATTGAAAAATTGGCCTAAAAAACTTTTATATAATTTTTTTAAGATTTATATATATTTTTAAAGTTTTCTCTCCACTTTTCACTAAATTATTTATTTACTTGAACAATTTCTATTAATAATTGATGTTAATAAAATAATAATTAAAAAATTAAAAATCATAAAAAGAC